GATCGGCGAAATAAAGAAATTTAGCTTTTTGCAGCAAAACTGTCACAAAACTGAAAATACGAAGGGCGTCATGATCTGGAGAATATTTTAAAGAATCTTTTGGCGGAAATCGCATGTCGATCGATGCAGCCATTAAAAAGCCTTTTGAATAGCAAAATTCAGCCACCACAAATAGATAATAGATTTATGATCCCTGTGGGAAAGTTTGTATTACAATCGCAAACACACACATGTAATAAATGCATATTAATTCAAACATACAAATTATACTTATAAAGAATTTATGATCCCTGTGGGGACGTTTGGGTTACGATATTGCCAACATACACGAGCAAACGCTTATTATTCAAACTTACAATTAAATATGTTACAAAGAATATCGGTTACACAATATTACACCAACGCAGAACAGTTTTACAGACGTGGCATTGCTGGTCGCCACTGTGCAGCGTCCTGGTTTGTTGGGTTTGTTTTTTGGGGGTTTTTTTGCACTAGGATTATCATGTCTCACTCAAGGACACACCCCAGTGACCAACCACCCACCCCTCCATCCATTAATCCATCCATCCATCCAGCTAGCCTCCCTTCCAGCAATCCTCCCATCCATCTATTCACCCACTCACCCACCCATCCATCCATCCATCCATCCATCCATCCATTCACCCACCCATCGATACATCCATCCTCTCATCCATTCACCCACCCATCCATACACCCATCCATCCATCCTCTCATCCATTCACCCACCCATCCACCAACTTATCCATCCATCCTCTCATCCATCCACCCACCCATCCATACACCCATCCATCCAACCTCTCATCCATTCACCCACCCATCCACCAACTTATCAATCCATCCAATCTTCCATCCATCCACTCACGCATCCGTCCCTCTCCCCAGGAGCTGATGTTTTGCTACGTGGTGTGGCCGGCCGACCTGAGCCACGAGGAGTGTCTCTCGCCTGCCTGTATAGCAAAGTTCAAAGTCAAGGTCAGTGTGTCAGTCGCTAATCTAAACCGTTGTTTGATGGTATCTTAACCCTCCAAAGTTTAGCATTTCCCGATTCTTAGTCAAGACATCGCGACCTCAGTGCTTTCTTGTCATATCTCTGGGGTTTTTTAAACATTAAAAATGTGACTTCTTCTTTAGCTCACTCTTACTGTTTTCCATGTTTAAAAAAAGTGGAGATACGACAAGAAAGCACCGAGGTCGCAACATAATAATAATATTAATAATAATAACAATATTGAGGACAATAATGATTTTATTCTTTTAAAAAAATAATATTCGTCCCCATCGACACAATTTAGATCGTTTAGAAGGCGGGCTCCGACCCTGCCTGTCAGGGCCGACCCAGGCTGAGAGGGATACAAAGTCCCAGCAAAAAGACGACCAAGATATCGATTTTAAAAAATTCTCCGCACATGGGAATTAAACTTGAGTCTATTGCACGTATGCAGCGGTGAAGAGCCTAACCACTTACATTACACCACGCTGGCACTGTGTCAGTGTGGTTCTGTAGTGTCGAAGAAAGTCCGAACAAACAAATTCAGAAGGTCTTTTTCTTTCCTTTTGCTTTTATTTTTTTTCGTTTCTTTATTTCTTTTTTGTTTTTGTTTTTTAATATATTTTTAAAAATACTTTCGCTTACTCTTCAGGAAGTGGTGGTGTCGCGCTGGGTCCCGTCGCAAGAACGTGACAACAAGACAGAGGAGGAGGAAATTCCATGAGTGAGGAGGAAGAGGAGGAGGAGGTAGGAGGTAGAGAAAAATGCAGTGAGAGAGGAGGGGGAGGAGAGAGGAAGAGAAAAATACCGTGAGAGGGGAGCAAGGGTAGAGAGGAAGAAGAAAATACAGTGAGAGAAGAGAAGGAGGAGACAGGATGAGAAAATACTGTGAGAGTGAGAGAGGAGGAAGACACAGAAGACCAGAGTTCGATCCCCAAGTCGGGAGATGAAGTTGTTTTGTTTTTTTGAATTGAGTATCTCCGTCTGTCTGCTAGAGTTTTGCGTCCCATCCAGCTCGGGTTGGCCTTCGGTGTGGAAGCAGCCGGCCTCCTAAACGATGATCTAAATTCTGGTGGTGGAAACTTCAAAAATTTACAATTACTGCACATGTCAGATCTGGGTTTTTTTTAAAGAGATAGTTTATAACGGTAACAATCATTACTGTGCGTGTAAGTGTAAGGCTTTTTGGGAGATAGTTCATAACGGTAACTATCATTACTGTGCGTGTAAGTGGAAGGCTTTTTGGGAGATAGTTCATAACGATAACTATCATTACTGTGCGTGTAAGTGTAAGGCTTTTTGAGAGATGGAAAATGAGTGACAAGTATTACTGTACATATATATACAAGTTGTAAGGCTTTTGAGAAATAGTAAATGCTGACAATTTTTACTTTACATAATGTAAGGCTTTGGAGAAAAGGAAAATAAGACAATTATTATCGTAAATATCAATTGCTCAGTGTAAGGGTCTATCATACGTCACTTACTTGTCAGAATGGCATATGGTAGAGCCTGACACGAACTACTGGATGTAAGTGTAAGGATTTTGAGAAATTGAAAATGATGACAGCTATTAGTGTACGTGTAAGGTTTTTGAGAGGTTGAGAGTAACGAGTAATACCATACTTGTAAGTTGTAAGGCTTTCGAGAAATTAGAAAATGCTGACATACATGTAAGGTTTTTGAGAGGTTGAGCATGCCAAGTAAAACCGTACAATAAAAGTTGTCAGGCTTTTGAGAAGTTGGAAAAATGCTGACAGTCATTACCGTTCATCGTGTAAGATATTTTAGAGAAAAAAGTTGCCGACAGTTATGGCTGTACATGTAATTTTTCTTCTTTTTTTAAATATTTTTTTTTAGGTTGAGAGTTCTGATAATCTTTACAGTAACTGTAAGGCTTTGAGAGCTCGTGGGAAACGCTGACAATCGTAAAGTAATATAATGTACATGTAATGAAAGTCTTCAGAGACAGACGGAAAGTGCAGACAATTTTTATAATAAATTGACTAGATTTTTGAGAGACGGGAAAATGCTGACAATTACATATATTTGTATCTCTGTACGTGTAAGTGTAAGGCTTTGGAGAGATACATTATAATAAACAATTATTACTATTACAGTACATGATGTAAGGATGTAAGGCTTTTGAGAAAGAAGTGGAGATTGCCGACTTTTGTAAAACAGTAAATGTAAGGTTTTGGGAGGTGCTGCTTGTCATTTTTGTACAGTGAGCCAGTGAGTATTTGAACTCATTCCTTCTTGCTTTGTGTTCATAGTCATGTGTGTGTGGGTGTGGTTTGTGTGTGTGTGGGGATGGGGGGGTGTAGGGGGGTGTGAAGA